GAAACATCCAGCGTGTAATATCTCACAAAAAGGTTGTTATCAGAACAGTAAAATGATGTTTTTCGAGGAAATCACTGGCAAGGGTAAGCCGCTCGTGGTTTCTTCGGTGCAGGCGTGAAAATTGACCAAAACCAGTACTCAAACGGTGTACTAATGGAAGTAAATAAAACATTGATCCGACTACGTTTTCTGAAACATCTCATAGTCCTTCCAGCAGGACGCTTCTCCAGCCCAAAGAGCCAAGCTTACCCGCGAGTGGTGCCGACGACAGCTGCCCGACTTTATTGGTGAAGAGGAATGGTCATCCTATTTTCCAGAACTTGACTCACTTGAATCCCACGAATGGTTCCTGATTAGAAGAGGACCTGTCGAGTTTGCAGTCCCAGTTTGGAGTCCTAGAATGCAAAAACTGGAGGACGGCTGGGAAGAAATGGAGAAGGATACCTGCGTGCCACATGCGATCAAGTCGAAAGCAAACTTTGACTTCTATTAGCGCTCACGGGGGATATTTTAAAATGCGACTTTAGCATGTTGTAGCACATAGTGTTAGCTAGCGTGCATAGAAATTCCATCGTCTTTCGCAGCTGAGAAGTTTCAAATATATTGCTATAAATCGGCGCGAATAATTTTGGGACACCCTGCACATATAACATTCACTCAAATCTGTTCTCTCATACACTGTTGTAGCTTTTTTCGTTTCAGCGTCGGATTCATGGAGCATCAAAGTGCCCCTGCTCATACCTTTCTTTGGACTGATCATTTGCACAGCAAACTACATCGTACAAACATCATATATGAATGCGTCTATCTACTATCTGCTTATCAGTGACGCATTTTTCGGCGTCTGCGGTGGATTCGTCTCGATAATATGTGATTTTTACACCTGCTCAGTAAGGCCTACTCCATAAGGATCAAGATATCATTTCTTTTCAGCCACGGCTATTAGCTATGGAGTTAAGACGACGACTACGTCTCGCAGGAGTGTTAGAATAGCTAGCGTTGAAGCTGCTATTGGACTCGGAGGCACCATCGGATACGTTCTTTCAGGAACCATGAGGGAGTAAGGATCATTGTTCTCACCATTTGTGGGATTAGCACAATATAGCAAATTCTCCAATGAGTCAACCAAAAATTCACTCCTCTAGAAATCATGCTGAGTCATAGTAGAAGTTCGATGTATAGAGTCCAATGTAGTTCGAGAGCGTAGTGAATAAGTACCTGCTGGTCTGATTTTATACTCGGATTATTAAATCTCACGTCTGCCTAACAATGCGTCCATTTCCCCTTTCGCGACTATAATATTTACTGAAAATATTAGTCTTTTCGCTCGATGGTCTTACCAGGGAAGGATCCCAACTCAAAGTGGCCTTTTGAAATAGCACCTATACGGCTAGACGTGTTTTTGGGCGCTGAATTCAAATCCGCTTTCCAAATCTGCCAAGCGTTTCTCTG